AACCCCCAACACTTAGAGTTGGCCTGGCACGAAGCAGAGACTCATACATGTTTTATCTTTAGGGGAAGGGAAGTGGCTGACACTGTGCTATCTTATGTGTGCCATCTTATGTGACCTGGATCACATCCCAGGTGGGGCCGTTACCCCTCCCTCAGGCAGAAGACAGGCACAGAGACGGGACACAGACCAGTGGGTAGGCAGAATGTGGGAGACCACAGTCTGATTCAGAAACCACATTAGGCAGTCCTCTCCCCACTCCCTTGAGGCAATTCCTTCCTGCTCAGCCTTTCTTAGCTTGTCAAAGCCTCTCCACCTTTCTTAGCCTCTTGAGGGTGCCAAAAGACAGAGTGGGATGCTGACCTGAGACCCAGCTCTCACACTAGCTGGCCATGTCCTCATCCACTTCTTGCTTTCACCCTCTCCCACGTCAGTTTTGGGTTTCCACATCCATTAGCTCAGGGAACTGTCCCCAGGAAAGCACACTGTCTTGGTCTACAGGTGAAGGGACTGAAGCTCAAAGGGGGCTGGAACTCGCTTCTTCTTGGCCACCGAGGCACTAACGGCCGGGAGCGCAGGGCTGTATTCATCACACCTGGTGCGGGCCCTACCTGAACTGCTCGTACTCCAGCAAGACACACGGCCCGCGGCCTGGCTGCCACTGGCCCCCGAGGTCCCAGTGGCCAAAGCGGCGGATGTCCACGAAGCAGAGGGCAAGTCGGGGGCCAGGGGGAGCCGTGTAAAAGCGCAGATGGGCATGGGGTGGCAGCGCATCGCTGGGCACCAGCTGGAAGGAGCCGGTCATGCCAAAGCGGAAGACGAGGGCCAGTGGCCCTCGTGGGGGCTGAGCCCCAGGCAGGGGGCTCAGTGTCAGGCGCAGCTCCTTGCCTCGGGCTAAAGCTGAGATGTGGTAGGCACTGCTCTCAAAGGGCACCTCAGGGTTGCGGCTGACAGGTGACTTCTCCACACACCCACCAAACACCAGCTCCCTGCATGCCTCGTTCACAAAGTGACTGGCCAGATGCAGCTCAGGGCCCTCAGGCATTCTGTGGGAGGGGTGGCCAGGCCCTGTGGGGGAGGATGACAGCAGGTTGGGCCAGGTGTGCATAGTGAGGTAGCAATTATCACTTCCAGTTTTCAGAGGGTCAGAGGGGGCCATGGTCAACTGATAATTGGCAGGAAATCAGCTGGCTTGGCCACAGCCCCTGCTCCACAACCCCCCACCCCCACCCCCACCCCCGCCACCAAAAATGCTGAGAAAGCTCAGACTAGGGAAACGTGACTCCCTTGCTCATTAACACTTTCCATGGGCTTCCATGAACCCTTCCTGATTTTAGAATAACGTCCAGATCCTTCCCGGGCCCACACTGTCATCTCATTTCCTCCCACGCTCCCTCTGACTCACTTGCTTCAAGCACACTGCTCTTCTTTCCCCCATGCCCTCGCCCCTGCTGTCCCCCTCAGTCTGGGAACATCTGAGAGAGGACCTCCCTGACCACCCTATCCAAGGCAGCATCGTACCCCCCGACCCCCTACACGTTTTCCTTCCTTCGTGGCACTCCCAGAACCTGAAATTATTTTATCATCTCTTCTCTGCCTCTACCTCCACTCCCACCCCAGAGTGGAAGCTCTGCTTGCTCATCACCCCACCGCTTGGAATCAGGCCCCAATCGGTTGTCACAATGACTGAGGGAATGAGCCTGGAAGAGAAGAGCTGGGAAAACGGTTGCTCAGAGGCTCAGCCGGCAGTGTGGAGGCCTGCCACCACCCACTGGTCAGGACCATAGCGAGGACAAGGAAGAGGGAATGCAGGTGTCTCCAGGTACATCAGCGCTGGAGTCAGGAACACACGACTTCGAGGGAGGAGACAGGGGAGTCAGAAGGGCTCCCCAAGCTCTAGCCCATGGTCCAGGGGGGAATAGGAAACGCCCCGGTCAGCGGTCAGCGCCTCGGGCCGAGAGCGGCGTAGTCCCCTTCCTCACCCTCGCTGGCGTAGAGAGGAGAGTTTGCCACTTTCCTCTTCGCCACATCGACGGCGAAGGTATGTGTTGGGCAGAGGGGGACATTTAGCCAGGGCAGACTCCTTTGGCGTACCCTAAGCTGTACCCTAAACTGTCCCCGTTCCTAACACTAAACCTAACCCTAACACTTACCCAAAGCCTTACCCTAACCA